CAACAGAGCTTCGCTGCGCCAGGATTTCTCCCTGGGTGGTCTCCTGGGAGAGAGTCTGAGGGCCAGCAGACGGCGTAGCAGTTATGTCGCTGGATTCCTACGTGGCTGACCGCGGTTCGAGTCCAAAACAAGGGACTTGAAACTCACACTGGGTGCGTGTATGTGCGTGCCCAAGATCCTGGAAGGTGAATGGAGAAAGGATTGTGGCATGGCCATCCCCCTGGGGCGAGTGCTCACTTTCCCTCTCACTGTCTCTGTCTCTCCCACCATGCACATGCTCTAAGGCAAAAAGCTCTAAAAAAGAGAGACAGAGAATCTGATTGGTCTGGATCAGCTTTGCACCTTCAGATGCCTCATCGGTTGCTGAGTGGCCCATCAGGCGGCTGTGTTTTGGTCAAGTGACCAAGTCTAGCCTAATCAATAGGTAATTAGAGTCATGGGACAAAAAAACATGGCAGCCTAGGGCTGTGGGAGGCCAATGCTCCATAGGAGGTGTGGCTAACTAAGAGCCTGACCCTCCCTGACCCTCCACAAAAATCCCCAAATGTCAGACATCCTGAGGAAATTCTTCATGCTGGGTGTGTTTGGTATTAAATCCCAGGGATCAGCAGATGGCATAATGGTTACATCGCTGGACGCCCACGTAGTCAATTGTGGTTCCAGTCCTGGACCCAGTGGCTTAAACTCACACTGGGTGCGTGTGTGTACATGCCCAATATCCCGAGAGGAGAATGGAGGAGAAGGGATTGCAGCATGGCCAACCCCTGGTGGGTGATTTCTCATTTTCTGTCTCTTTGTCTCTCTCTGTCTCTCTGGTGAGCACACATGCCCTGTAGCAAAAAATCTCTCAAAGAAAAAGCAATCTCTTGTCCCAGAGATGCATTTCTTTTTTAATTATTATTATTTTATTTATTTTATCTATTTATTTTTGTTTCTTATATATTTTGCTTCCCCCGCCCCCAGAGATGCATTTCTTTAGGGGCCACTCAAGGAATATCCCAATCCAAAGAATTGCTTTGTAGTTTTTTAAAGCAATTTTTAAATAAAAATATATATATATATTTTCTATTTTATTTTTTCTCTCATGAGAGAGAGTGACAGAAACAGCACACCCAGTAAGGGTTCACCCCTAGACTCAGCC